ATATGCGTCCATTCCAGATAAGATTACTTGTGTTATTTCATTACAGCAAATAGTGGGATCAGCTGTTTTAAAGCAAACCTCTTGCCATGGAAAATCCAGGTAATACTGTTTTAGGTCATTCCATTTTGCCGATTTATAGTGCCACATTTTACGAGGAAGTGGTTGTAGGCTTGGTGGGATGAGCATTTCGCACTTTGTTATTATAAGTTTATGATCGGACGAACCAAGTGGAGCATCTACTTGAATTGTGTACGAGTCAGGATTGGTGGTTAGGAACAAGTCTAAAAGCGCTGCAAATTCGCCCCTTTCTGAGATACGGGTAGGTTCATCGACAAGCTGCGTTAGACCACAACTTATGGCAAAAGCTTCTGCTTCTCTGCCTTCGTTATCTGTTTTGTTGTGGTGTTTCAGCCAGGGTATATTGTGGACGTTGAAATCGCCTAAAAAGGCAATTTCCGCCTGTGGATAGTTTGACTGTATACTATCACAGCTTTCGGATAATGTCGCGAAAAAGTTTTGGTAATCGGTGTTACTTGGCGGTCGGTAGAGGCAGCAGATAAACTTGGTCGATGACTTTGAGGTGAATTTTAGCCATATGATATCAAGGTTCGCTGGTTCTAGCTTCTCCTCTCGATGACATGAAAGGTCATTTTTAATATACACACAGATCCCAAAATTATGTCGAAATCGGTGGTGTAGGTCATAGCCGGGATAAAGATAGTTCACAATAGGTGTTGCAGAACTGATTTTAGTTTCAGTGAGAACAAGGATGTCAGGTCTTTGTTCTTCAAGATGTTGGTGAACTGAATTCATATTTGTACTTATTCCTCTTATATTGCTAAAATCAATTGTGAGTTGAGTTTTTGATCTTCTCTTTATATCTTTGCATGAAGGACCCCCAGGATCACCCGACGCCCGGAGATCCGAGTGGTCGGGTATTTTACTTCCGGAATATTTTGATCCTGGAGGCGCCATCATGCTATCTATTACTCATTGTTGGAACCGGACTGCCAGCGCAGTAGCGGAACGTGGTGATACCACTTAGCGCTACTCAATTCTGGCATGGTGGTATCTCACCGGTCGACGCCCAATGAGTAAAAAGCGTCCACCACCTACTTAATCTGGGTTCCGTAAAAATCATGGCACCGCCACAACCTTGCTACATGTTACGGATGACATAATTAGAGCATATGAAAAAATTAAGTGTACCTACATTTTTCATACTGCTGGTAGACTTTCGATCACGAGACGTTGCTTCTGAAATTGAGATTCTATGGCTTGGACAAAATTGCGCTTAACTTTTTTAGAACCTGTCTTAACAACAGAAGGCAGCGAGTACTCTACGATTCGTCCTTATATCATAGGTTGCACTGTTAGACCCTGAGATACGGCCTGTTTAGTGGAGTAATTTTTTTTTGTCTGGCATTTTGAGGGATGAATGTGGCTAGTTAGCTGATGAGAATATAGGTGGTTTTAATGCCTGCCACCTGTTCGAAATGTCCACAGAATATTTCGCCAGAAAACTCGACTTCGAACTGGGATTACCGTCTGGCGATTTTTCAGCGATATTTTCACAACAAAACTTTCCATTCTCTCGATTACCAGACAAAAAGTAAACGCGGAAGGTCCTTTTCCTTTCTCTTGGAAGTTGACACTCATCCCCACTTTTTCAGCTATTGAAAAGCATCTGGTATTTTTTATGGGTGAATTATTTATCAATGTCAATCTTTTATTTAGAAGCCAAAAAATTTGAGATCATTAAAAAAAATTCCTCATGTAAACCAATTTTTTTCTTCTGCAAATTTTCGAACGGGAGGCAAGCATTAAAATCACCCATATTCTCATCAGCTTAGTAGCCACATTCAGCCCTCAAAATGCCAGACAAAAAAAAATGACTCCACTAAACAGCCACTATCTCACAGTCTATGGTGAGTAGGGGTGTGTCGCAGGGTAGTGTTCTGGGCCCGCTCATTTTTTGTCTGTACATTCCTGATCTATCGGAGTACCTGAACTACCTTGAGTGTCACCAGTTTGCTGATGATACGCAAGTATATTGTTCCTTTCCTTTCCTTTCTCCCTAGCAACGTAGAGTACGCCGTCTCTTTAATAAATGAAGCTTTTCAGGTCCTAGAAAAAGTATCTGAAGCTCATAGTCTTATACTTAATGAAGAGCTGAAACTCAGCTCATAGTCTTCGGTAAGCAAAGGAGAAACTTACTAATTGATCCAAACATTAAAATCTATATCTATAAACGGCACTCTATTGGCTCCTGTTGAATGTTGTACTTCTTGAATGGCCTCGTAAAACAATTATTCAATATCTTTTGTTTTAAAACTTGTTTTTCTTCTTGCATTATATCCCTTGACTTTGCAATGATGACGGAGTAGGTAACCTTAGAATAATTATTCCCCATTTTTGGCAATTTCATCTACGATAGGTACAACTAGAATATCTGAACCTTACTGCATTTTCTCTTTCCGCCAGGAGGTAGCTGGCATTATTCATTACTATAACTAAACTATCAAAAATAAGTTCAAACACGCCGGCATTCATATTCGCATGATAATCTCCAGTACCGTTTGACATGAAAGGGTTGATTTTTTTTTCCTCTACAAAATGCATTATCTGGCAGCCTATGATATCCAACCCTGTTAATATATGAGCTTATTTATTGCCCCTGATGATGGGATTTACTAATCCCGAAACATGTTGGGCCATTTAAAACAAATAAAGTATTTGTGGAGGAAGTGAGGAAGAAAGAGCTTTTGTTTTAAATTAAAAATATTTCAGGTATGTACGTTTTTGGGGTGTACAAAACAACACAACACATACAATGGTATGTAAACCATAATAAATTTATCTAGTTTTGACTAGTTTTGAGCACTAAGCAACATCCAACAAATTATTTTTTTCCCAAACTTCTAAAAATTCTGCCCCCTAAATATATGCAGGCACGCCAATTTATGTGTACCCTAGGATTGAAAAATAGAGTATAGAGCCACAAAAACATACCTACTTTGTTTTTTTACCGTTTGTTAAAAGTTGATAGAGTGGCGAGTTTTAGGTAGGACAAACTCATTTGCCAAATGGATAATGGATGCAGCCAAAAATTAACGCCCATATCAAAACGAGTTGCTTTAGTTGATAGCAATTCCTCCATGAATGAAACCATCACGTCCAACAAAACTAGGTACCACAAAACAAATTCTTACACTGGCAACATATTTAATAAGATACCTATAAAAAAGATTTCAGTCAATGCCATTTAATATAAGAGCTTAATTTTTCGTAAACGCATTCATCAAATAGGTACACAAACAATGTTATTAAAACGTTCCTATCCAGGTATGGATAATGATATAGGGCATATGACGTCTCAACCTTGTATCTCAATTTTATCGATAACTAGTCAATTTTTCTTCTCGGCGCTAACCCCTAGAAACATCCATATTTTTTCAAAAATCTATTACTATCTTAATGATAACAACCGTTTCAAAATTTTGTCAAATTAAAATTCAAGCGGGGAGGGGCAGAGAGACCGCCTCTATTCACAGTGCACACACAATATTTCAAATATCATTGTGCACCTAAAAAATGTTTGTTAGCAGTTTTAGCATTGGATATTGGTAGGTAATTATTATTATTGTTAAAAATTTATAGCATTAGATATTTTTAATATATCTTGAATTTATAATTTTGTTCATTGTTGCATTGCTGCAAATAAATAAATAAATAAATAAATAAATATTCCTGTCGAGGATGGTGACAGGTGTATGTCGGAATACTTGCCATCTACTATGACACCCGCCAAATATACCAAACATCTACTATCATACTACTATCTAGTCTATTGAGTTCCACCTGCCAGTATGCACTTTTCATGTCCAGAGTTGAAAACCGCTTAAATCCTGATAGGGTGTTAAGCTGGGATTAAAGCAACCTTCGATATTCCAAAAAAAGCCTTGTGGAACCAACCGGCGATTACCATGGGTCGAGGTATGGGCTATTAGATTTTTGTATGACGTCATCGTCATTGGTGATGCTTTGCGAAAAGAAGTCTTCGTGGTGGTTGAAGAGTGGGTGGGGTTCTTTCGTCTAGTAAATTCGATTTACACAAATATCATCCTTGTCTTTTACTAGCTGGAGTCATCTATTCATTGGATTGGCAATATATATTCTTTCGTTGCTCATTATCAGCATCTTATTTTTGAAGTCCACAGATAGAAATTCGAAAGTATCTACTTCCAATGTACTCTTCTATTACGTCAGTCTGTGCCGCCTATTCCCAATACCACGGTGATCTCTCCAAAATTATTTATTAAAACGCCTTCAGCTGTTTCTAAAAGCAGTTCATTTCTCGACATCACCACATAGTCCTTGATGAAGACCTTTTCAGGCAATATCACTGATCTTGATGTTTGTGGTGTTAGATCAGTCGTCATAAAATTGTAAGATGTCAATTATCTTGCCCTTGTATTAAGAAAATCTATTAAGGTCGCGAACCTTCCCCATTTTGCCTTTGACTTCTTTCCGGACTGCTTCTATTGCGCCATTGACTTCTTGTCGAACGATCTGGAACAATTTGGCGATCCTGTCAATATCGTTTTGCTACTTTAAAAAAGGTGAATAAAGCTTTGACAAAGTTATTTTCATAATGGTAATGTTTCGTTTAATGATGTTACCTATGTTATTAACACATTATTTGGACGAAGATGAAATGTTTTTTTTTTCTCATGTGAGCAGCGTTATTAATTAAACAATCAAAAACTAAGTTTCTAATAGTTTTTCTCATACTCTCCAAAAATAAACGATTTAGACCTGGCATAAGCTAAATAATGAAGTCCATCCACTTTATCGGTCATACTGAATCCTTTAAATACCATGAATCATACCAATCATTAGCAATAAATAAATTTGTCATATTTAAAGAACAATCAAATGATACCAAATTGTCGGTATTCCCCCTCCGTGCTCTATTTTTGGTAGAGAGTTAGTTGCATAAACAATTCTCAGAGTAACAGTTGTTAGCAGCAAAGTGGCTGTGTTTCAACGGAGCTGAAATATAGAGCAGAATAACGCGCGCTTTATTTCGGGATCTCAGTCTCATCTTTTTCTGCCTAATCTTTTTACGGAATAGAGGCGCAACGCTTTTCGAACGTGCACACTGCTTCATTCTTTTAAAGTGTTGTGAATAAGTTCTATATTTTAAAGTGACAAAAGGAAGAAAAATATTTTTGGAACTTTTGTAAGTACTACATTTTTTCCACTACTACATTCCTCATCTTAATTATATATTGTTACCATGGTACTTATGGCAAACAGTATAATATGTAATAAATATAAAATAAAACATCTAAGGAAAGAATGCGAGGTACCTAGTGTTGTATCTATTGGGAAGAAACCTACGTTAACACAACAAATAAGTGATATTTCTGCCATATTATTTGCAAATAAAACTTATGCTAATTCTATTTTCTGTCTAGTTCTTTACGCAGTCGAAACTAAATAGTCCGTATACGCGGCTTCTTGTTTCCTGCTTCTTGCACCTCATTATAGTATTTGACATTATTAGCCAGGTAAAACAGTTTTTACTAGCGATTGAAGGAAATGACTGGCGAGCCGTCAGGCGAGCTTGTCCCCTTCAAGAGCCAGTAAAAACTCTTACCTGGCGTATAATGTACAATAATTTATTTGTTACTCATTTGTAAAAGATAAAGAGACACATAAAAAATAGATAAATAACAACATTTTCAAATTAATATATTTTTCTTTGTTTTTTTCTCATTCAAGCCTTGAAGTTGATATAACTATGAGAACGAGACGTGGTTAAGTCGTTGTTTCTAGTTATAAATAGGTTTTCTGAAAGAATTGCATTTTGCAATTTTTTTCCAGAAATGAGTGTGCTAGAAGATATTATTAATGAACCGCAGTCATAGCTAATAGTTTATCACCAGAAAAGTCTTCCAGAATGTCCCTACAAGCAATTTATTCTTGTGATAAAACTGATTTTTTCAAAATAATTAATTCTACTGACTTGTAAAAAGTTTTTACAGTTTAGCTGTCAATTTTACAAGTCAGTAGAGCTAGTCGCTTGTAAAAATTAATTTTCGTTGTGTATGTTTTGACTTGATAAGTGGCGTTTTACAAATGAGTGACAAATAAATATTTTATCTTTATTGATGGGGCCGAATGAGGCACATACAGCCACTTGGCCAGGGTCGTATTAAAATAAAGCTAATTTTTGTTTGATAAAAAAATATATTCATACATCATAATATATGAAAGAAGGAGGAAAAGAGTTGGGACTTTTCCTCCTATATGCCGCCAATTTGAATTTTTAATATTGTTTAATAAATGTTTATTTTGTGTTTCAAAACGTAAACCTATACTGATCTATCCAATTCAAATATGTCGCCGAGGCCCTTGGCGACATTTTTTAATGTAGATATGCCAATTGATTTCAGCTAGACATATTATGTCGTTCCCAAAAAAAAAAAAATACAAATTTCGGCGTAACTCTTCGACCCTAACGGTAGGTACCTATATAATTGGGGATATGGCAACTTTCTTACATCAAACTTTTGTTCATGAGATTATGGGACTGCAAGCTTAACCTCGATCAAAAAATCGTTTAAAGTAAGACAAATTTCTGTACTTTGGCGAATTATTTAGATTTGACAAGTGAAATAGACCAATACTTCAGTTTTGAATATAGGAACGGCCAGTGGATATACATAAAAAAGTAAAAAAAATCTTGGTTTTATACTATGTATATGCCTGAAAATGAAATTGGTATTTCATTTATTGAAGATCGCATTCAGGCATTTTTAATTGAATCAAAATTTCACTAGGAAAATTGGAAAAAACGGATGAATGGGATAGTTACTAAGTTAAATTAAAATAAAATATATCACTACAAAAGATTCTAATGATATTAACGCTTCTGATCAAACGTATGGAAGCAATTGGAAGAAGATTCTAGTTGGTGAACATTATTGTGCACAGTGCTTTTGCAGTGCCTCAATTCCTTATTGAAACTTTGCGTAAAATCCAGTAAGCAAAAATTCAATTGAATTTTTATGCCTAACAAATTATTATAAGACGATTATCTACTCATTGAATATTGTGCCTACCAAATCGTCTTTGACAGAAGGCAGGATGGTCCATTTACCAAAAAAATATTACATCATGCAGCTTTTTTTTATTGGTATTGGTAAAATATACTCATCATCAAAGGCGATCACTCGATACCGAGTATGATTTTCTTATATCCTATTCTTATTGTCATCGATTGTGCGTTTTCTGGCTATACCTATAAACCAATTCTGGAGCCGCACACTCTTCCACAGTCTTGGGACACCAAGACTCTGGCAGCATTATCTCTTCCTCTGTTCTCTCGCTCCTTCCTGCGGTCGCTCTTTTCGGTCTTGTGTCTGCTTTGCTGTTCTCCAAAAGTTTGTGGTCCGTCGTGTTCTACTCGACGCCATAAGGGCCTATCATGTGCCGTCGTCTCCCAGTTGCTGGTATCGATGCGACACTTCGCCATATTTTCCTTTAGAACATCTTTGTTGCGTTTTTGACTGTAGAGAATCTGCCGTGGAAGACGTGTTTCGGGCATGCGTACGAGGTGACCTGTCCAGTGAAGTTGGTGCTCAATGATGAGGGCTTCCATGCTAGTTGTTTTGGCCTCCTCTAAAACATTTATGTTCGTTCGTCGATCTTGCCATTCAATCCGTAGGATTCTTCTCAAGCATCGCTGGTGGTATTTTTGTATGTCTTCTATAAGTGGTCCATTTTTCGCAGCCATAAATAAGTGTTGGTATTACAACTGAATTTTATGCGCAAAGTTTGGTCTCAGCGCTGATGTCGTGACTGTTGACGACTCTCTCTAGGAGTCGCCCGAACGCCGCGCTAGCACACTTCAAGCGATGATGGATTTCAGCGTCAATGGTTGCATTCGCTGACAGATGGCTCCCAAGGTATGGGTAATGTGGGGCCTCCTTGCTTAAAGAATTCAGCAGAAATGCCGTCAGTACCAGCTGACTTATTGTTCCTTAGTTGTCTGAGCTGGGACGCTCTGTAACGAATACAGATATTTTCTCTATCTCTATTGACGTTCCCTCTCTATTGATTTCGGAAAGAGAGAAAAAGATAGCAAGTATGGCACTTGGGATAACGATCTCTATCCGTTACAGAGTTCCAGCCCTGATTGCTTTTTCAACCTCCTCTAATCTGGGAGCCTTGCTCAGTTCTTGTTGTATTGGTTTCTGTGAAATTTCGTTAAAGATGTCATTATTCATTTGTGATTCTGTGTTAAGTAGTTCCTGAAAGTATTCCTTCCAACAAGAATTCATGGAAGAACTGTCTTTAAGCAGTCTTGTGGCATCTTTAGATCCTAAGGGATTGAGTCCTTGAGTGGTTGGTCCAAATACCATCTCAGTAGCCGGAAAGAAGGCCCTGGTGCTGTTCGATTCTGTTAGTTACTGGATTGGTATTGGTAAAATATAGTATGCTCCCAGTGTTCATGAATCTTTGTGATAGTGGCTTTAGAGTAGTGGCATACAGTCTTTTAAAAAATGTTATCAAAAGACACCAATATTTACATACAAATATCAACATAGCGTATCCACATAATAGGGGTCTGTATTTATTTTTTCCCTACTGCAACTGCTTAAAGGCCGGGACACATCTATCATGCATTCTTCCGATCCGACTCCGATCATACAATCAAGGTCCTTATTCTTGGAACAGGGGAGCAGCGTTCCCAGGAGAACGCCTGGGAACATTGCTCCCTGTTCCAAGAATAAGGACCCTGATAGTATGATCGGAGTCGGATCGGAAGAATGCATGATAGATGTGTCCCGGGCTTAAATCAACAAAAACACCACAAGGCCCACTAAGGGCCATTTTTTCATCACGGTTATGTTTGTTGGATTCCATACTGCTCAATGAATACAATCATCTAGGTATATGATCTTAGCTTTGCAGATGACCAAGCATCAATTATTTCACAGGATTATGATGACCTACAGTATATGACACTTAAATTGGTAGAGAAATACGAGAAAGGGGGCTTGGAAGTAAATCTCGCGAAACTCAGGAAATATGACCATAGGTGAAAAACAACAACAAGTGATGTTGAATAACGTTCAAGAAATGAAATAATGCAGTGAATACAAATATATGGGAATAAAAATCTCGCATGAAGGAACCCTAGGTGCAGCAATTGAAAATCGGAATGTACAAGGACGAAATCCCTACTAAAAAGAGCACTGTGGGACCAAAGTATTAACAAGACAAACAAAACTAGAATTTACACCATCGTTAAAAGCAAGTCAAATAATAATGTAGATCAGACGTCTGGCCAATGAAGAACAGATTCTCAAAATTGCTGCAAGCAACTGAAATGGATTTTTGGACAAGAGCGGCAGGCGTTAGGTCAAAAATGGAAAGGGTAACAAATCAGAGAATTAAAGACATTATGAAGGTGAGACACACAATAGTTGATATCATACAAAGGACTGGATTTGGTTCGGACATGTCCAAAGAATTGCAGATACGAGAATACCCACGCAAATCTTTGAGTTGAAGCCACATGTCCGATTATATTATTATGTTGCTGCTACTTTTCCTTATATTATTTAAGCGAAAAAAACAAAAATTGCAACATAGACATAACATAACATAGAGACAGATCACTATCCCATAATGCTTAAGGTTAATCTTAACGCGAGCGACAAAATTACTGCAAATGAATATGATCAAAACTACTCTGTTATAATAATAAGCAAGGATTAGTCCAATATTAATAGTTCGGCAGATCCAGAGCATGCAACACGCTGTTTTTAAAACACCTTCACACATTCGTTGGATCAAGCAACAACCAAAAAAATTAAATTCACTAATAACATCGACATGGTCAATAATGCTTGTAAAAAGTACACAACCCTTTTCTTGAATAAAGCACTCAGTCGTCGTTAGTCGTTATTATCTAAGCCCTATCACAGAAAATGAAATCATATCATCACAAACATCAGCACCTCAAGGAAGGATGATATATGCTCAAAGCCAATAAAATTCATACGTTTACAAATACCAAAACTAATAATTTACATTTGGAATCATGAATCTAATTTTCAAGATAGCTAAAATTCCCAGTTAATATGCGGATACCACAAAATTGAATATACTTAAATAGCAAAATTATATCATACGCAGATAAGAAAGTTGCAGTTTTTTTCTGAT